GTCCTGCTCCGACGAATCCGTCTCTTCCATCTGCTGCATTTCCAGCTCAGAGGGGAGAAGAGCTGTCAGGTAGGGGACAGTGAAAGGCCTGGCAGCAATCACTGGAGTCAGGGAAAAGGCCACAGTCAGCGAGCTGGGAGAAAAACCCTCCCCTCAAAAATTAGGAAGCACAAAGAGAACGAACACTTTCGCTGGGTCTGGCTTAGGACACACACCACCTCTTCCTGCTGCTCCCAGGGATCAGGAATGAAATATGCTGTCCCTACAAGATGGCAGTCTCTAATTTCCTACTTTCTGAGGCCCCTTTATGTTTCCAACATTATTCCAACATGAAAAATCCCTCCTGACCTCCACAAAAGTTCCATTATGTCACAGGCTGAAGCATCACTTGGTCCCCCTCTCAGTTAACACTGACACCTGTGCTGTCAGTGAGCCTTGGGAAGGTGGGAATTCTCAGCACTGCTCTGCAGTCAGAGAAACAGGAAAGCCTCCACTACCACTAAAATGTCAGAGACAAGAAATTACTTGTTCCAAGGTCACAGGGAGTGGAGTCAGGACTGGGATAAGCTTTGAATTTAGCCCCTCTCAGCCTTCTCCACGAGCAGAAGACAGTGAGCCATAGTGAGGGTAGAAGCCTTATTTTGGTTTTCATACAAAATTCAAATACGAATCTGTATTTTTAAATACAAAATTCCTCATTTCCTTCAGGGAATAACACAATGTGATCATTCACAGCTCACTCCCTGCAGCAGAAAGAACCCCAATGTGGGGGGGGGATGCTCAGGGACACACATTTAGGGCACAGAGGGTCCCAGAAAACTCACGTGGGAACGTGCTGACGTCATCCTTGAAGAGGCTCTGGGTCTCCCCTGTCTTGGCCATGAAGCGTGTGAGGGCCCTCTCCACATCCCGCCGTTGGGAAGCCGCCTTTTCCCGCAGCACCTGGTAGTCGGACACGGGCTCCCGGTACGTCTGTGGAGCAGGGAGGGAAGGGAGGGAACAGCTCACGGTCAGAACACTGCAAGGCTGCAGGAGCTACAGGCAGGCTCTGACCTCTGCTCCTGACAGGCTTTTGGAGAGCTACAGATGTCCATCAGCCAGAAATCCAGGGATTCTGGATGATTTCTGGACAGCAAGGGATGTCCACAACCCAAGGAACGTATAAACCAGGAGAAGCAATGTTTTGGATGGACAGTACCAGCACTGCAGTAAAAACACACCACTCCTGCTGTTCTGGACTCCAGACAGCCCCCAAACAGCACAAAACTCCTGTTTTCACTCACCGGCGTCTTGATGTAAGTGTGGGGGTCTGGGAACTCAGGGAAATGGCCGGGAATGTGGGAGGGGTGAGGCTTGTTCTGTCCAGCTGTCAGGGCCTTGGGGGTCACGGGCTGGTTTGTCACAGGAGCTACAGGAGTTCAAAAGCACAGAAATCAGGGGGGTTCCTCCTGCCCAGGGCCAGGCACAAAGTGCTGCTGCTGAGCTGGGCCCCAGATTCCCAGGCCCTGCCCAAGCACATCCCAGGAGGCTGTTTGGCATCCCAGAGGGGAACAGGGATCACTTGGCCCCTCCCTCCCATACAAGGAGAACAAAACCATCCCGAGGACTCTGGTGTGCAGTGAGGACACTGGTGAGAAGTGACTCTTCCTGCACCTATCACAGGGTCACTACCAAACTGCACTTCCAGGAGCTCTGGAATGAGTCACCCCTCTGGAAGCCAGCAGAGAGGAATGCCGGATTATTCCCGGCTTCCTGTGTAGCAGAAAGGATTTCCCACGCACGGGCAGTGATGACCATCCTCTGGGAGCGCTTGGCATACGCAGGAAGGGTTTCAACATTGAACCCTGGAACACAAAAGAGGAAACAGGAATCACACCAGGAGTTTACCCTGCTCAAAAATCCCTTCTTTCAGGCTTTCTAGAATTTTTCCAGGGGCTCCAAAGGGCACGAGAAGGAAAACCATGCACTGTATATATTCACACTGCACCACGCACCCTGCACGAGGCTCAGGACAGGGCTTAGAACACAAACCCCAGAGACACAGGGGACAGATTTTCCTACCAGCACAGCACATCCAAAGCTGGAATGAGCAGGAACAGCCAACTACTCACCCATTTCCACCAGAGTAACCACGATATCCGAGAGCGTGGGCTGGGTCCTGGCTGTGTGCTCACAGTAGGACTTGGCACTCCTTCCAATTTCTGAGATATCTGGGGGGACAAAGCCACCACATATTTGATTCTTACAGTGCCCACACTTGTGTCAGCCCAAGCCCAGCTTCAGGGATGGGAATTTTTAACAGATTTGGCAAGGAATGAGAAACAGCTCCCTGAATGGAGCATCCTGCAACCTGGGCATTTAAAATTTGAGCATGGAGACATTAAAGACTAAAGAGTCAGATGTTCTCCACAAACGCAAAAGGCAAATCTGCATCACAGGCATGAAAAAAAAACCCACCCAGAAGCTGATTATGTCTTGATTTAATAAAAATAAGTAGGTTCTCAGCATATCACCCAGAAAGAGAGGAACAGAGGCACTCCATGAACCAATGGCTGGAATTTTGTTGTTCCTCTGTTATTCTGGCAGCATCTCAGCACGTGGAGCCTCTGTGAGTATCTGATGAGTACCCACTGAGTAAGACAAATACATATTTTGGAGCTGGGGCAAACCCAAAGCGTCACAGAGGTGACTCCAGCCACCAGCACTCCTAAAACACCCTTTAACACCAGATAACAAAAATGGGGAGAAAACCCCAACAAAGAGCGAAGGAGCAGTGTGAGGAGGGCCGGGGCACTCACAGCTCTGGATCATCTCGGTGAGCGTCTCCACCGCCGCCTTCTCGGCGCTCTCGAACCCCGCCTCGGTGAGCAGGGAGCTCACCACGACCTGCAGCGTCCGCCGCCGGGCCAGGTGGTAGTTGTCGGCCGGGGTGCCAGCCTGCTTGCTGCCAGGGCGCTGCCACACCCGGAACCGGCCTCAGCGGCACGGCACGGCCGGGAGGGCAGGGAGCAGGGAATGGGAAGGGAATGGGAAGAGACAGGGAGAAGAGCACGGGAAGGGGCAGGGAATGGGGATGGGAAGGGACACGGAGCAGGGTATGGGAAGGGGCAGGGAATGGGGATGGGATAGGGAGCAGGGCATGGGAAGGGGCAGGGACAGGGAGCAGGGCATGGGCAGGAACAGGGAGCAGGGAGCAGGGACAGAGAATAGGAAAGGACAGGGAGCAAGGCATAGGAAGGGGCAAGGAATGGGAACGAGAAGGGACAGGGAGCAGGGCAGGGACAGGGAGCAGGGACAGAGAATAGGAAAGGACAGGGAGCAGGGCATAGGAAGGGGCAGGAGCAGGGAATGGGAAGGGGACATGGGAAGGGACAGGGGACAGGGCATGGGAAGGGACAGGGGATAAGGAATGGAAAAGGACAGGGGACAGGGAATGGGAAGGGACAGGGAGCAGGTATTGGGACAGACCCAGGAGTAGGTAATGGGAAGGGTTTGGGAACAGTAATGGGAAGGATTAAGAGCAAGTGATGGGAAGGGGCAGGGAACAGGTGCTGGGAAGGGTCTGGGAGCAGGTACTGCCCTGGCACCCCCAGGGAATGGGGACACGGGTGGGCTGAAGGACTCAAGGGCAGGAACACACGCACATGTACCTCAGCATGGACACACGTGCACACACATATGCACACACATGTACGCACAAGTACATTTAAATCCCCCCCGGATGCCTCTGGGCCGCGGCCCCTTTAAGAACCCGCCGCACGCGCCAATCAAACCCGCCCCCCTCGGGCCCGTTCAAGCCCATCAGCCGGCTCCTCCTGGGGCCATCGCCCCGCTCCCGGGCCGGACTGGGCCTCGCCCCACGCCACGGGGCAACCGGGCACTGCCGCCCGCCGACTTCCGCCGGCCGGCCCCGCCACTGCGGCCCGACCCCGGGGACGAGCCGCCCTCACCGTGCCGGAGCCGCCGGACGCCGCGTCGGCCATCTTGGAGCCATGTGGAGCTGTGCGCATGCGCCAGGGGCGCTGCGAGGACGGGCGGGCGCGCGGGGCACTGTGGGAGTTGTAGTTCGGGCAGGGAGGGAGCACGTGGGCGGCGGCAACAGCTGGATCCACCGGCACACCTGGATCCCTGCACACCTGGGTGTCACATACACACACCTGGATGTCACATACACACACCTGGATGTCACATACACACACCTGGATCCCTGCACACCTGGATCCCACACACACACACCTGGATCCCACCCGCACATCTGGATCCCCCCATCCAGTCCAACCCCCCTGCCAAGGCAGGGTCACCTGGAGCAGGTGACACAGGGATGTGTCCAGGTGGGGTTTATAATGATGATAATTGGGTGTTACAATGTCCAGGTGGGATTTATTGTGTCCAGGTGGGATTTATAATGAAGACAGTTCAGCTCTAGGGCAAGGGAACCTCGAGGTTTTTTCCAAGTCAGCAATGTCTGCACAAACACTCCTTCTATCCCTCTGCCCCCTCGACATCCTGATTTACTGCGTCCCTAAGGCTTGTTAATTCCGGGATGTCCTGGAGCCAGGGGTGGAACTGCTGCCTGTGCCTCTGAGCAGCTCTCCCTTCCTGCTGGTTAGGCTTGAAAGCACACAAGTTCTTCCATCAAAGAACATCCTGACTCGAGCCAATCCTGTCATATTCCACGCTGTGCAGCAAGCCCAGCCCCTGCCTCTGCAGGGTGACCGGGAACACAAACCTCCTGCCCCGGCATCACGATCCCACTCGGAAATGATTTACTAAACCCCCTCTGGAAGCCCCAGGAGCCCTGTAACCATGGGAGCAGCGAGGGTTTCCTGTTGTAAGTACTGTGTGTTCTGAGCTGCTCCTCGGTGTGACCGCCTCGTGTACTCACGCGTCCGTGATCAAAGCTTTGCTCTCACCAAAGTGTTTCACAAAGACAGCACAGGAAACCACCCCCCCCCAGCTCCCACCCCTCGCTTCCTGTTTTAGCACATGTGTGGGAGAGCAAGAACGGCGTGAGAACCAATTGCTGCCCGTGAGAGGGAGAGGGGGAAAAAGTGATGTAAACAACAGCTGCCACGCTGGGAATTAAAGGTCCTGAGTGCACCGGGGCTGGGTGGCAGCACAGCTCCCACAGGCTGCTGGTCCTCACCTGCAGGAGCACCAAAACCCCTGCAAAGACAGGGAGAGGAGGAGGCAGAGGAAGGGGGAGGTTGGATCGTTCCGGGCAAATGCACCTGCTGGAGCAAAGCAAACTTCTTGATCACCAAAGGTAGGAGGCAAAGTTGTCTCAGGGGCTGCCAGTGTGCTGAGGGGGGAAATCTGCCTTCTGGGTTCAGGGATGACAGAGCTGTGGGCAGGGCTGAGGGGGCAGGATTGTGCCAGGGATGTTCAAAATTCCCTGGAATGGCTGGGGGGGGAATCTGGAGGTCTGGCTGTGGTGTGTTCTGCCAGGCTGTGATGCCACCCTGTCCCCTCAGCAGGGAGGGGTTTGCGTGCCAGGGCTGGGGGTGCAGGGGCAGCCCAGTGTGGGCTGAGGGGATGGAGAGCTGAGTTCAGAGGTAGGAACACACGATCCCAGACTGGTTTGGGCGGGAAGAGACCTTGAAGATATCCAGTGCCACCTCCTGCCACGGGCAGGGACACCTCCCACTAGCCCAGGTTGCTCCAAGCCCTGTCCAACCTGGCCTTGGACACTTCCAGGGATGGGACACCTGTGCTGAGACACTGAGCCCTCCAGCTGAGGAACTTGAGGTGCGTTCAGAGCTGATAAAAAGCAGCAGCTGACATTGAAATAACTGCTGTTGGTGGCTCAGTGCCCTTGGAAAGCTCCCCCAGAGCAGTGCTGTCCGTGTGGGATCAGCACAAGCAGGGTACCCCCAGCCTGGCAGAAGATCCCGAGGTGTGCCCTGGTTGGAGCAGTTGGTCCCCGAAGGAGGCAGGTGCCCTCCTGCCCGGGTCTGTCCCAGCCCTGCTGCCACCAGAGGGCACGTGGTGACCACGATGTCCTCATTTCTGAGCCACCTCGTTCGGCAGCCAAAATCACCCACAGTGAAGTCACGTAGATCCTCTCCCCCCCTCAGCTGCGAGGGTGCCACCAAAAGCTCCTCTGAGCCCCCCAGATTCCTTGACTGACCAGATCTGGGGGGGTTTGTGGTGCAGTTTGATAAGGACAAACACTTGACAGGCAAAGGAAGCTGCCGCTGCTGGACAAGGAGGGAATAAACTGCTCCTCTGAGAAGGTTTTGGGGTTTTTCCCCCCTAAGGACATTGGCCTGTGCCTTGCAGGGATGAAAATTCAACCACAGGGAGGTTACAGCGTTGGGGCTGCTGGTTCTTGTTATTTCGTTTACAGTTTTGAGGAAGTTTTTATATTTGGGAAACATTGTTTGTTTTAGTCCAGAGCAGCAGTGGTGTTGTTGTTGGCAATGTACCTGGGGGGTTGTTCAAGGCTCTCTAAGTAAAAGATTTCTTGCCGGGTCTGTTGTTTGGTAGAGGAGGCTGATCCAGAAAGGATTTCCCAGCGAGGTGTGGGGGTGTGGATAAACTCTCTGGATAGTTCTGAGAGGTCCCTTCTGGAATTTATACTCAATTTCCAAAAGATGCAACAGGCACAGGGAGTGGAGGAGAGTTTCCAGAGTGCAAAACACCTCTCAGGGTGTGAGTTAAGTGTTCCAGGGTGGAATTTTCAGAGTAAAGCTTGGAGAGGTTTAGTCAAACCTCCAAATAACCACAGGGGAGAAGGTGTCTGTGGTGGAGGCTCTTTGATCTCACAGAGACATAACAAGATCCAGGTGCTGGGAGTGCAGAGCAGCACTGGGAGAGCACGAAATCAGCTGCACCCCTCGCAGGGGAAGGGGATTGGGCTCCTGGAGGGTGCAGCGTGCTCCCTAAATGCCAGGCTCCACAGGAAAACTGCCTGTCTTTGGGGAGTGTTGTTGTTTATGGGCAGATAAACTGGACAGGCGTTCCCAGCCAGTCCCAGCTGGGTCCCTTCCCAGCTTGTCCTGGCAGTGTCCATGCTGGAGTTTGACCCCAGAGGGTCCCTGGCTCAGCTCCCCCCACCCCGTGTCTCCCTCAGCAAGTCTTGCTCCATAAGGATGAGCCTGTAGGAGCAAGGAGGTCCCAGGAGCTCTGGCTGGCTGGGCTGGGATGTCAGAGCATCTTTCCTGCTCCCATCACCCGTCCCTGGGGTGATTGGTGTTTGCTGGGCCTTTTATTTCAACATTCAGCCAATGTGCAAACTGTCCCTTCCCACTGCCCCCTGAGTCAGGGCCATATCTAATCCTCCAGGCATGTCACCCCCACTCCAGGCTGGGCAGAGCCTCTGCTGTGGATCTTGCTCAGCTCTTCCTGCCCCCCCAGTGACTCAGGGGATGTTCTGCTCCTCCTGTCCCTCTGCCCCAGCTCTGGGGTCCAAAGGTGATGAGGAGATGGGTTACAGCTGCTTTTGTGCAACTGGTTTCGCATTAACTTTGTTTTCTGAGGAAATTCTGAGGTGTTGTTTTGCTGAGAGAACAGGCAGAGGAGCCCCCCAGGTTTAGGGGGTGCTCCCCAGGGCAGATTCCTGCAGAAAACATAACGAGGTCTCTGCCTGGACTTCCCATCCTGGCTTTGGGCGAAGTGCTGCTGCTGTGCCTTGCCCCTGCTGCAGTCCCTTGGGATCAGGGATGCTCTGGACCATCCCGTCCCCAGCAGTGTCAGGGACAGCTGGTGGCACGTTTGGCACAGCCAGGACTGGCCTGGCCCAGCCTCTCTGCCTTGTGCAGGGGTGATGATGAGCTGGCCCCTTGGGGGATCCTTCAAACCAGCTGGAGGGACTCTGGGAGAGGGGACACTGCCTCTGCCTCATCCCTGGCATGGATTGAACCCTCCTCTTCTCACTCACTGACTGAGCAGGTGCCACTACAAGGTGTGGTCACAGCAAACCCAAATTATCCCTCTTTGCTGACCCCTCTGGCCACACGGGGCATATTTTGCCTGGGGCCATGAGCCCATTCCCCACCTCAGGGGGGGCTGCCTGTATTTAAATGTCATTTCCAGAGGCTCAGAGGTTCGGGCTGTCAGAGGAAGTGCTGCACACACAGAGGGCACCCTCGGAACGCAGATGGCAGTGAAGCCAGGCCAGTGCCTGCTGCTGCACACCCCTCTGGCTCACACCTTGCCAGGTGAAGCCCCCTGTGCTCCCAGAGAGCTCCGTGCTGTGTGTTCCCATGGGATTGTGCAGAGGGAGGTGCTGGTGGCCCCAGGGGGGGTCACATTTCCCCCCCTCCCTGAGCAGGAGCCTCACACAGGGCACTCCCCACACTGGGGTTTCTCTGCTGGCTGTGCCAAACCCCACTGGCACTGCAGGAAACCACAGCCAGGGTGGTGCCTCCTGGGGCAGGCACAGGGGAAGGAATCCTGCTGCTCCATGCACAGCCCGGGGATGGGGATGGGGGTGGGATGGGCTGTGGGCAGCTCCCACATTCCCCCTGGAGCATCCAGGGCCAGCTGAGTCATTCCTGCAGTGGATCGTGGGCTGACCTGGCTCTGCTTCACAAGGTTTGGGAAACCCTCCTGGGTTGTGGTGGTGCCCGTGGGTCCTGTCTGAGCATCTCTGAGGGGCAAGGGGAGGGTTTGGGGGGGGTTTGAGGAGCCTCAGACATGGACATGGCTGGTAAATCCTCCCAGGTTGGACTCGGGGGGTCTGGGGGAAGTGGTGCAAAATTCCTCTGCTGCTGGGAACTGAGCAGAGCCTTGGAGGGCCTGGCTCTGCTCGTGGGCTTTGTGTCTGACAGTGACCTTCCCCTGCTGAGGGTGTTCTTACCCACCTTTGAAATGGGGTGGGGGGAAACAGTGAAGAACCAGCAGTGGTTTGACTGGAAGAGTTGCAGAGTTGGGCAAATGCTTGGAGTTCCAGGAGGGGGGTGACAATAACGGGGTTGAGAGGGACAGTTGTCACCTTTTCTTGCCCATTAAATCTGTCATTTTAATCTACTGGTGTTTCTTAGCAAAGCACTTTGAGCAAATGCCTGTATCCACAAATCTGAGCCCAGAGGCTGATGAAAGGCACTTTTTTCTTCCCAGTGGGATCCTGGAAATACAGAAGCAATAGCAATGGATGAAATGTAGGGACTTGTGTGAACTTATTGGACCCTCTCAACAGCTCAAGCTGAGTTTAGAGCTCGGGTTTGGACCGATTCTTGTTTGATCAAATCAGCTCCTTGTCCCCATTTTCAGATGAAATGAAAATTGTCCCTATCAGGGCAAGAAGCTGATAAAAGATTCTTCCTAAGAACAAAGCCTGAGGTTGATTCATCTGTGCTCAAAAAAAAAAAAAGGATCTTCAGGGAAAGGGGAGGCTTCTTGGGAAAAAACCCTGAAATAGGCTGTTTGGAAAGTGAGGTTTGTTAAATCACTTGAATAACATTAGTTTTCTTTCAAGGACTTTTTTTTTTCCTCCCCCCTCAAAAAATGGCTTTTTTACAGCCCTCCTTGACTTCAGGAGGAACCCTGTTGCTAAAAATCATAGACCCTTCAAAAAAGGATTCCTTTGCTGGTGTGGAGGTGCATTCAAACTGGAATTAGGTGCTTAAGGATCTTTGTGCAAATGGATGGAGAGACCTGGCTGGGTCTGTACATCCTCCTCCCTCTACCTGTGCCCATGGAACAATCCCATTGTCCAGGTGAGAGGTGCAGCCAGGCTGCTCCAGGAGAAGCCTTGGGCATTGGAAACACCCTCTCTACCCTCTCCCCTCCTTGAGAGGAAAGGGAGACTCCTGGTCATGTCATGGAATAAGCCTGAGCTGGGAAAACTTCTCCAGAGGGCTCTTGCCAACCCAAAGGTCTGTGGAGGTCCTGAATCAGCCAGAGTGAACCCAGAACTGAATCCCCCCAGAGCTCTGCAGCCCTCGGGGGGTTCTGACACCCCTCCAGCCCAGCCTGGCAGGGCAGTTTGGTCTCTGGGGGCTGCAGGAGCAGCAGTGAGACACAAGGGGTGAGGCAGAGATAGGGGGTGGCAGCAGCTGTTCAGGATGTGCCGCTGATTCCGTGACATCTCCCGCCCTTTTTGGACATCGAGAGTTTGGAGCAAGGCAGAGAGAAAGGAGGAGCAGCCCCTGATAAAGGTCCCCGGGGGTGTCCCCTGTGCCCCACAGCCCCGGGGAGCTGCCCCAGCTGGGAGGCCACGATAGGTGCTGTGTGTTCACCTCCCTGCCCGGGCACAGGGACAGAGATCAGCCCCCTCCTCCCTCACGGCTCCGTCTCCTCCTCTCTCTGGCTGAAGGTTTC